CCATCCCCGCCACCCGTGGCCGGCAGCGTGCGGGTGTGCTGGGGGGGGCGGGGGGGGAAATCTCGGTGCGTGGTGTCGGAGCGAGCTGCTCTCGTACGCCCCTGCTCGGGGAGAGCGGCTGGGCACCGGTAAGAGCTTATTTTCTTCCTACAGTTGTAGTTATTCATGTAATTATGCACCTGCGGGTGTGCTGGGGGGCGAATCTCGGTGCGTGGCGCCGGAGTGAGCTGCTCTCGTACGCCCCTGCTCGGGGAGAGCAACTGGGCCCCCGTAAGAGCTTATGTTCTTCCTACAATTGTAATTCTTCACGTAATTATGCACCTGCGTGGGGGAAAAAGCAGTGATTTACAGCATGCAGTCGCACGCGGGATTCCCCCTGCCGGATGCACATTTTTCCCTCTGAGCTGTTTGTTGCAGGGCTGTCTCGCTAACCTTTGCTGCCTTGGTTAACCTCTGGAACTGTAGGCAGTTTATGGACGGTTGGCCACAGAACTGAAATTTTGATATAAATGTGCATTCCTTGCAAAGAACTCTGTGCAAAACGGGCAGGTAATGACTAATGTGCAAATAATACGCATTTATTACGTTAGGTGTTAACGTTGATTTTGGTCGTGTCAGTTTGATTTGTCTTGCAGAACCCAACGTCGTCATATGTTGATCTTTCGCATGTGTATTACGTAAGTGAAAAGGTTTCTTTTTGGCACGATGAAGGAGGATTGTTCGATTGGAGAAAAATCAAACAAGAACACAGTCAAATTATTTTTAATACCCAAGGCTATTTGGATTTTTTTATTTTAGGAAAAAAAAAAAGGCTATCACAAAGCATTCTTTTTGTCATCACTGAGTCTTCAATCCCTGCCAGCACAAAACCAGGAAAATTCACCCATCCTGTTAGCTGGTTATATATGCAAATTCAGAAACAGCATTTCTGGTGTTCTTGCAGTTTCTTACTTTGGGTTGGATTTTGGCAATTTTGTGTTGGAAATTGAAGCATAGAGGGAAATGCAGTGTTTATGTAACTGAAATTGAGGGACAGTTCCAGGCAGGAGAGCTGCGTTGTTAATAGCTGGGACAACTATACTTAAATGGCAGAACCATTAATGCTTGGCAGCCAGCAAAGTAACTCACCTTTAAACAGATGCAGTTATTTGATGTGCTGCTCTGTATTTTAATATTTTGTCTAATTTCTAAGGAAGGTTAATATAGGTGAATTCTGTTTCTGAAACTTTGTAGTTTTAGATACATATTAACTAATCTGTTAAAAGATTACTTTTATGGTATCAGAATGAAGTGCTCTACAAAAAATCTCCAAATCCAAAGCCCAGCCCAGCAACTCTCCTTTTACCATACTCCAGACTGTTTATATGTATGTTCTTGATTTGGATCCTTTGCACAAATGTGCAGTGAAATACTGGCCCCACAGGACCCTCCTCAGTACAAGCATTGGATCTGTCTTGGGCTTGTGCACTGGAGAGAAGTCTGTGATGGATATGTCATAGTGCTGGGCTATGGGAAGAGACGAGGGAGATCTGCATTGTGCCCTTGTGTCTGTAGTGTTTGATACTACTAGATGCAAGTCTTTAGGGCAAACTTACTGGTTTGTGTCCTGGCATAAGTTTGTTTCTGCAAAAAGACCAGGCTCCTGCATTTGACTGCTGACTTCTGCCTCCTTTGTTCTGGCACTGGTGTTCTTGTCACATAGGAAAATACCAAGCTGACTGCCTTTACAGTTGCGTCGGTGAAGGCTGTGCGCCGAGGGAGAAAAGACAACAAGATGCAAATAACTCCAGTAACCCAGGTGGCAGATATCTCGAATTGGAGGACCAAAAATTACTTAAAACATTTGGCCTGAATTTCTTTTGTATTTCAAAGCCCTTAATGAAAGAGGAGGATGATACTGCTTCATCTTGTAGGGATATTGTGAAGATTTCTTAGTATTTACAAAAAAGCTATAACTGTAGAAAAGCCACTGAAGAAATCAATATGGAACAGGAAATATAGTGTCACTAAATAGGCTGTGCACAGAAAATGTACCAAATATTGAATAGCTGTTGAAGTGAACATTGTCATATATCTTCAATCTAGAGTGTTTGTCTTGGTGGAAAAACAGCATTTTTGAAAACTGCATATAAAGGTTGGGCTGTTGATACTAGACCAGGCACTTTTTTCAGACTGGGGTTAATTTTTAACCTTACTATTTGAAGTAGGTTCTGTGTCATTTCCTTTATGTTGCTGTCTATACAGAGATGCCAAGGGCTCTGACACCTCTGGACCCACTGCAGGTCTCTGCTGGGTTACTCAGGGACCTGATCTCGGAATGCTTTCGTCTCTGATTTCATTTCACACCGAAGAGGGGTATATTTTCTAATAGTGGCAGGTCCTTTCATCTGTTTCTTATAAAGCCTTTTCTGTTCTTTCTTCTTTATACTTCAGGTCTTGACTTTTCCCTGCCCATGGTATTCATCCATTTTTGGGGGGGTACAGGATATGAATTGCAATCTGTAAATTCTCTCCATAATCTGAATCTCTTTACGTCCCAGATTATACTGGGGTTCTTTGCTGCATATAGTATTTCTGACTAACCAGTCCCATTTCCATTGCTCTACCCCCTTATTTGTTTCATCTTTCTCTCGGTCACTCTGATTCTGCTGTCCCCTGTAGAAGTTCCTTGTTCTCCTGGGCTTCCAGATCAGATCTAACTTCCTCAGCTTCTCTACATTTCTGTTTCTTTCCCCTCATCCATCTCCTTATCCCAGTTTATTTAATGAGCTATTACACGTTTTATGTGTATCTCAGCTTCATATTACATCTTTAATCCACAACCAGCTCTGTGACTTCCTCCATTTTTCTTCCCCAAACCCTTTCTTCCCTCCTCCTTCTCCTTTTCCCCAAGTCCATTGCCTGGTCTTCTCTGTATTGTATTCCATATAGCTTCATCCTCCATGGTAGGCAAAACTGAAAAGTGGAGGGAATGGAGAGTGGTTTGGGGGGGGGCGCTTTTTTTTTTAAGGTGTGTGTATATATACACACGTGTGTATAGAGAGAGATATATATATAAAAAAGCTGATTTCAGCATGTTCTGTTCAGCATATGAAAACTGCTTTTCCATCAAAACTTAAGTTTCTGCTCTGAAACTTGGACATAAGAGGTCTTATGCCACTGGTGTTTGATAGAGAAACCAATGTTTTCTCTGGTCTTGCTCTTTAGATATGAATGATCCAGTCAAATTTTTATGGACAGAGAATTTTACCAAGAAAAAAGCACATCTGATGGAAAATACAGTCTATAGAGTTAAAGCTTCATAAGATTAGGAGCATACTTCATAATTTTATATGTTGGATGGCATAGTAATTGGTAAGATCTTTTGCCTTGTCTAATAACTGCTGATGGAAGTTATACACGGACTCTGTCAGAATACTGGCAATACTTGCAATTGCTACTGGTAGTTGTTCTGCTGAGAAAAGGATGACAACTTTTGTTTCCAAGTGAATCACATGGGTTGGTTCTTTTTTTGGTTTTTTTCTGTGTTTGTGGGTTTTTTAAACTCTGTTTTTTTCCACCCAATGAACATGGTAATGTTGAAGAACATCTCTTGCATGGACAATCTATTCACTCCAGCCTGATTCTAGCCTGATTTTACATCAGTAATAATGCCAGTAATAATGTTTGTGTAAGTGGCAGAAATATCCCTTTAAAAAAAATCAGATTTAATACTTAAGATGCGGGTTGCAATATGAGGGAACTTTGGTGGAGCGAGTAGTTAGAGGTTATGATATGAAGGTTGGATTTCCCTGTTTATCTGCTGTATTTCAGTATCTACTGTACTTCAGAATGAGTACATTGTTCAGACAGCAACCACAGTAAAACGTTGTGTGTCTCAGTATTCACTGGCATGATGTCTGAGAGAGAATTACTAAATTTTTTGATCCCTGGTGAATTAGAATAATGATGGCCTTTTTTTGGTAACAGTTGAGAACATTCTGTTCTTGATGAATTTTGCTCAGCCACAGCTTGGATTTCAGAGTGACTGGAAATACATTTTTAAAAAATTAAATACACTGATTTATATTAAATATCAGGCTGAATAAGCATAGCCTTATGTATTTTCAGTTGTTTTTGTAGATTCAGCTAGCTGTACAGCTTAGTATGTAGTGATACTCATGTATATAAACGGTATCTACTCTGTTTCATGTTTCCATGTTATCACAGACATTTTAAGAATGTTTGAAAATACTGTACTGCATTGATGTAATAATTTGTTTAATTTTTTTAGAACTCAGATTAGTATACCATTCAGGTATGCCATAACTCCTTGATTTACTTATCTTTAAAATTTTACTACTGTGATTTTGTAAAACACTGTCTGCTAGTGCTTCTTTGGGTTTTATGGGTTTATGCAAATTAGTTTAAAAAGGCAACATTTTGGCAAACTACTGTGTATTTGTAGATACAAAAGAGCTAATAGTTTCAATTTTTCATTTTCTGTGCCATTTATTGCTACAATGTTACTTTACAATTTAATAAATCTGCAAGATGTTGGGTGAAGTGGATGTTCCTAATTGTAATATTTCAGAAGCTGCAGTACGCTGGCTTCAATCTAGTTTTTAACATCAGGTTAAATTTAAAGTAAATTTAAAGCATGATCTGATAGACATTTAGGGCAGTTGTTGAATTTTCATAACTTGCATGCTGGGCTGAGCCTATCTCAGCGGTGGTAAAGGTTAGATAGTTTTTGGCATTTGTACTAGCAAAAATAGATCTTGGATGTCTGTCTCATTGATGTCGAAGTATTTCTCCTGAATTCTGACAATTCTCCTTGCGCTTTCAGTGCTTAAAGACTTGATCAACGTTCTTCAACCCAGATAAAATTGTTCTGGCAGTGGGATGTGTTTTGAAGAGCTAGTCTTACAACTGTTTCTGGAAATCCAGTTAGTATAGGTAGATCTTTGTCATGAAGAATTAGTGAATATTTTTCAGAGCTACCTCTTTAGGCTAATTTGCACCTCTGGTACTGGAGGGCAGACCCGAACAGCACACGTACCCTGGCCTTGTTTTAGAAACTAGGGGTTTAGGACCTGCCCTGTGACTTCTGGAGGCAGCTTTTAACTCTGCTGCTACACAGCTGTGTCTGCGTAACAATTTTTCTTGCCATCTTTTAGCTTATATGTCTGATTAAAGCAAAATCTGCACCATTTTCAGGATATATGGGGTTTTGAAACCCATTCTGGACCTGTACTGGGTTGATTCTGCCTCTGCTTTGGGGGGGTTTGGTTTTGTTTTGTTTCAGGGGAGGGAAGGGGGGGCACAGCTGTATAGCCTACAATTCTTTCCTGTTGTAGGAAGTACATATTTCTCGTTTTTTCAAGTGACTCAAAACTTTGGCGTTCTCTTGGATTTTTCCATGTCTGGGATTTTTTTGCAGCTCTGCTGACAGACACTCAGGAGTAGGTACATACCTGTCTTGTAAAGAGCTCTATGTTTACTGATTTAGTAGTGTTGCTTAACTGAGCTTCTTGAATTTCTTTGTGTTTAGTTCTGTTACTGCTGAATGATAGACGTGTTTAGGAGTGTACATCCCTTCAGAATGAACTTGGGAGTTTCTGTATGCGTGAGAAGAAGCATGATGAAGTTTGGTCTGGAAGCTTTTATGAAATTTTGTTGATAAGTAAAATCATAGTGGTCTTTTGATTGTTACCCTCTTCGTTTCATAATTTATCTTAATAAGTAATTTGGGGCCTAAAGCAGAGAGTGTAAAACTACTGGTTTTGTTAACTTGGGCGGTATATGTAGTAGGTAACTTTTTATCTCTCTTGAGCAAAGTTTTTCTTTGTCTCCTTCCCTTCTCACAGACAGGTCACGAAAACTAATTTGCATTTAGGTGACCGCTCATAGATATATTGTGCATAGTAGAATTAATGTCCAGTTACAAATGAAGCAATAAAACTGTTTCTGCAATTTTACAGTGAATGGGCTTCATTCAGTGTAATTTCATTTCTGTGGTCATGCAAAATGATGTTTGATACAAAACCTGAAATCATGTTCTTGCCTAGAGAAGTACACCGTAGTCCCCTATGACTTCCTGGTTTGGTGAAGGTGGGGAGACAATAGAAGTTTCATACTGTCAGACTTGCTTCCATCCAAGTAATTTATTTCTTTCTTTTTCAGTGATTCTCCTTTGCCTGTTTCATCGCGTGTCTGTTTTGTAAAGTTCCATGATCCTGACTCGGCAGTTGTGGCCCAGCATCTGACAAACACTGTATTCGTTGACAGAGCGTTGATAGTCGTACCATATGCAGAAGGTTTGTGAATTGTTTAATGGCCTATGAAGCCAGCGTATGATGGCATTTTATTCCAGTATAGCTCACAAAAATGAGGATTAGTAAAATTTCAAACGTATAAGATATTAACATTTTGAAACCCTTGGTATATTGCCATTGGCCTATGGTTTAAATAATTTCTTTTATCTAGTGACACTGAATGAAAGTGGAAAGTTTACCTCTTACTGGTTTTGTGTGTCTTTAAGTTTAGAATATTAACATTTTAGGCAGAATTATTTGCAAATTTTGCTCTTTATCAGTCTCAATGAGACATTTTCCCAAACAGACTAACACAAACAGATCAACATTTTATGGAAATTTTGCCTTAAGAATTGTTTGCCACTTTCACATAGGCATAAATCTCTTCATGAGAATGGTTTCTCCCTCCCTGAGAGTGCATGGGAGAGTAGATTAACATTTCTTTGAGATATGCTGCCACTGCATTTAGTTGGGAACTTCCCTGAAAAGGCACTCGCTCTCATTGTGAAGTCCAGTATACCAAGGGTTTGAATAATTATGGTTTAATTTGAAAGTGAGATCTTCCAAGAGGTGCCAAATGGGCACTGGTACTAGTTTTTTATTCCAAGTTTTCTTGTTCATCCTTGATATATTTTATAGAATTTCACTAAATAATAAACTCTTCTCTCTGTTATTTGTGTGTGTGATTTTTGTAGTGGAGAAGGCAAATGCAAAGCCCTTCCAGATGACTGAAAAACTGGGTCCTCTGCAGCTACAGGGGATTCTAGACATTAACTAAAGGCCAGCAAGCACTCAAGTCCCCAAGTGTTTTCCTGGTGTAACCACTTGTTAACTACATTCTCTCTTCTTCTTTTTATTTTTACATTTTAGGGTGTTACAGTAATTTGAAAGGCAATGAGCAGGGTTTTTGGAACTTACCTTAAAAACAAAGTGCTGAGAAGACACCTCTTCTTACAGAAGTCTTATTAAACTCTTCTAGACTTGCTTTAGAAGTAATTGATTTCCATTGTACTGTTTCTTGATTTACTTCTGAAATAATGGATTTTCCCAGATCGCTTGAATTATATAAAATCTCTGCAGATTAAGTCATACTACAGTAATAAATTTGGTACATGGCCTGGGTTCAGACCTATAATCAAGACATTGTAATGCTGTAGGCTGTCTTTTGAGGCCTGGGGAGCTGTCTTATCTTTGTATTCCTTAAACTTGAAAGATGTGAAAACTTAATTTCTGGAATGTAGGAATCTGCAGCATGACCTTTGTTTGAGACATGCTGCTTTTTGAGAGTACAGAACACATTCTGAAATTGCCATTGAGTTACTGCTTCTGCTTTCGCTAGTTTAGGTGTAATAGCATAGTTGAAAGGCATCTTGTCCTCGTCTTTGTATTAAAGTATGATATAGCAACAGTCCATCTGACTTAGTACTGAAATGTTCTCCGAGGCCCATGGTGAAGAATGTTAGTGTTTAACTTTTCCAGTAAGGATAAAAACATTTTTTCTCTTTGTCAGTCTGACTTTGTCCATTGTGCTTGATGGTGGATAAATCTGGCACATAGAGAAATCTGCCCAGTAGTTTTGGTTCAGATTGTGTAAAGAAAATAAAATTAATAAAGTAGAATATTTTAATGGGCCTGTTTAAATCAAGGAGTTCCTCATGGGCTGTTTCTTGTGGTGTTCTAGCAGTTCAGAATGTTGATCTTTTTGGCATGATGATGTAGCATATCACAAGAGATATGTTCAGCCAATAAAGTTATGCCCCCAGTTGTGTAATCATATGCTTTTGTCCCTGTACTGGAGTATAGTTTTCCCTGCAAATGCATACTGCCAGGGTCCCAATTCAACAAGCTATTTAAGCACGATACAGCAAGATTCTTAAAACCATAGTGAAATTGCTCATGTGCTTAAAGCCAGGCATATGCTTAACTACTGTGCTGAACTGGGCCCTTTTATCTTTTATTTTCTATTGTGATGATTCTGTATTAATATTGCCTGTCACTAAAGTAAATGTTTATTATCTGTTTAGTGCAATAATTATCCCCTATATCACAAGCGCACTCCAGTTTTAGCATACACAGACATTTTGGTGTTGGCTGTTGCTTTGTGTTATAGAACTAAACACAAAGTCTACGGTAAGGTTTAGTATTTGTAATTTTCACTGTGATATTCCTAGATTTGGAAGGAACTCTTAAGATTAAAGATGGCTGGGGGGGGTATTTAGGTTCTTTGGTTAATGTTTGTTTCTTTTGTCTGTTTCTTTTTCTTTCATTTCTACACATTCATGCAGTATTTCATGGTTCTAACAAAGCAGCAGTAAAAAAAACTCTTGAAGCATGAAAATTAACTGGTGAGGGGCCTCATTGCTTTTTTAAAAATTGTAGTTTATTTATTTCTAAATACTTTTTTAAAAAACAATTAGAGGATCAGATGCATGACTTTTTTTAATGGATGCAGATCTTCTATGAGGTGTCTCAAGATAAGTCTGAGGATTTGTATTTAGATGCCAGAAATGTTGTAGTTGCACTAATTTGAAATGTTTAGATATAATTTATAAATATCCTCTGAGACATAATTTTGCATGCAAAATTACCCCATAATCTCTCTGTAGGTATGTTAATATATTTATGCATTAATGCCCTTTATCTAAATGACCTTTTTCCCCCCTCTCCCTCCATAACTTTTGGTATCTAAATTGATGACAGCTCAATGACACAAGCAAGATAACAGTGCTGTGTATTATACATTTGTTTATATTATCGGCACTTCTCAGTATAGGTGGAAGGAACCATTACCTTTATTTAACAGTGGTTTTTCTTTTTTGTTGTTGTGTTTTACAGTTCTTTTCCCTGGTTCAGCCTGAACTATATACCAGGCCCTGCTGAAAATACCACCCAACAGTTTTCTTCTGCAGCTTATCCAGTTTCTCTTAAGTGCCCTGTACATATTGTATGTTTTATGATGAGATGCAGTTTCTTAATATGTATTACAGAAACACTACTGGTATTTGCAAATATATAGTAAAATTGTTTTATTGAACTCTCATTTTGGGGGCTTGGGCACATTAACAAATTAATCCATCTGTATAGGGCTTTTGCTGTTGGATAGAATAAAAATACCTACCTAATTACTTGTTTCGTAGTAGGACCCTTACAATTATATGTGCAGAGCAGGCAGTAAAATAAGACACTTGTCTTAGTTGGCTGCAAGATTTTGGGCCAGAAGTTTCTTCTGAAATGGCAGTATGTAGCAGCATTCTTGGTACAATAAGCATGGCACATATTGGAACAAATGCATTTTACTGCACAGGTAAGGAATGTGCCACGATATACTGTATGTATGCACCCATCCACCCACAGACACACATACACAGCGTGTATTTGAAGATCTGCAGAGACTTTCATTTTCATTTGACAAGTCAGCAAAAGCCCTACGCTTGATTCAACAAAAAAATATTTCCATACCTTCTCTTAAGTTTTACAAAATTTATATGGTAGGTGTAAAAGAAAACATAGTGAACTGTACCATATTATTAACCCCTAAATCAAACTTTTTTTGTCTTGTGTATCTTGATTTTTCTGTGTGCTTTGTAGTGAAGCAGCCGACACGAGTCGTTGTTCATAAAACAGCTTTTGAAAGTTGAGAGCACACCCCTGGAGAACCGACTGTGCTTGCTTACGTTTGGTTCATGACTTAAAAATCGAGTACAGGTGATGAAATCTTGGCAGTGTTAACAAAAAAGTAGTGTGTATTGTGCTATTTTTTTGCTCTAGAAACTTAACCATTTGTAGAGAAAAAGGAACAGTCAAATTTTCACACATTGAAGTTTCATTCTGACAAAAAAAAAATTAATGATAAATATTAATAGACATCAAGCTTTGTATTTTAGCCAACATAAGTACTTTCAGCAAACTCAGGTGGTGTATCAGGGAGACATTTTCTGGGTGTATTTGTGTATTTTCTGCCTTTGGAATGGAATGCATTCTAATGCGAGGCTATTTCTCTGCAGGAGTTATTCCTGATGAGACTAAGGCTTTGTCTCTCTTGGCACCAGCTAATGCTGTGGCAGGTCTGCTGCCTGGAGGTGGACTCCTGCCCACTCCCAACCCACTTTCTCAGGTAGGCTTTCCAGTTAGACTGAAGTCAGGGGAAACAATTAGATGTATGTTGTTAGATTCTAACTTAGTTTCTGTTGTTTTTTTCAAGATATATAGACTGATGTGCTAATGCTGATTCCTAGAATGTTTTCGTTTATATACCTCGGTGGATTGTTACAGCTATCTGATAAGAATTGTGGCAAAGCAGTGATAAGTTGCTAGATGGGATGCTTTTCTTTCCCTAATATGACGCTTCTGGTATCTCAGGGGCCTTGTGTTTATATCTCTCTCATCCCTCTTTTATCCATTGTACACTTAGACAGATTTGACAAGCGGTAGAGATCTCGTAGATTTTGAATTTGTGAAGTTCAAGGAGTTGGTATGCTGTGGAGATACCTTCCATTAATACTCCAACTGAGGGGGAAAAATTGTACCCTGTATTTGCTCATTTTCTAAATGCACAAGAATTCATGTGGAAGATGAACAGTAAGAATAATACATTGTGGAAAAAGTTTCAGTCAAAGCACATATCTTATTAGAGAACAGAGAATCAAATTACAAGAGGCAAATTAATAAGAATAAAGCTTCATTAATTCTGCAGTTCTCAAACCTACTTCTTCAGCTTGTGCTTAGCTCTTCTTTGGCTAGCTTCTGTTATGATTTCTGATAGCATGAAAGATATACTTGCCATTGAGTTGTTCAGAAGGTCTCTTTAACCATATGTAGAGGGAAAAGTCTAAAGTTTAACTTTGAAACTCAATGAAAGGGATGGAAGAAACAAATACAATCTTAAAGATTCCTTTCACCAAAAACTGTATGTATATAAATTCCTGAAAATGGTTGTTGAACCACCTTGGTTTTAGTTCTGTCATTCTGAATCCCAGCCTAGTCCCGATCCACTTAAATGGCAGAATTTATTTCACATCCATTTTATGGAAAATTGTGGTGGATGGTCATTTTTTTTTAAACACATCTTGAAAGCTTGCTTTGTAGCTCCTTTTGACTGTTACTGCGAGTTGGGCATCTAACTCAGAAAAAGCAAATTAGAGTAGAGCTGTAGTTTACGTTCACAAAATCAGTACATGGGAACGTGGCTTTTTCTTTCGAGATTGCAGGGAGAAGCCTATACAGTTTCAAGAGATCAGCTAACCGAAAAACTCACTGTCAAAAAGTGGAAAGTTCTGCTCACTTGCTCTTGACTACATGCTCTTGCTGCTGCTTTTATGCTGGCTCTGGAGCTCATCAGATCCTTTAGTGAGGATGATGTGTTAGCTTGATGCAGACAGCACAAAAATATGTTCTCTGATGGCTCAGTGGGTTGAATTGGTTGACAAATGAGTCTCAAGTGCCAGGGCAATCAGAAAGGAGGCAATGAGAAGGAAGGGAGGGAGAGCAAGACCTCATAGCAACAGCATAGTGTTTGATTAACATAAGATCATGTGGTTTTTAGCACAGTGCGTGTTGTGTTTCCAGTATATGTTTTGATCATCTCACTTTAAGTGGCCAAAAAATTAGGTTCTTTCATGAGGCTTCTAGATTAATTTAAGGAATTCAGACCTATGCCATCATCCTACTTAATATTCCAGTAGCTTTTCAACCTATTTGCCAGTTTTAACCAAATTTGAGAAATTTCCAGAGATGTAATAATATTATGTTGTCTTTTAACATAAAACATGTTAATTTCAATCCTAAATTGATTTAGATATGCGGTAGTTGGCTCAGAAGCTTATAATGAATTTTAACACTGGAAAATAATTTCATTTTAAACTATTTGTTGAACGTAGTGGAATGCTTTACTTTTTCACTTCTTCCCCCTGCCCTGCCCCATTGGGATGCAGAGGAAACAGAATTTCATTTTAGAATAATAATAGGAAAAAAAATCTTTCATATACTAAGGTTTGGAATACCTGAATAAGGAAAACTGAAATACTCTCACTGACCTTAGTATAATGTTTCCTGTAGCTAGAAGCCTAAGTAAAACCCAGTTCAAGTTTCAAGTTTATGTCTAATGCTTGGGAATCTTGATCTAACAGCTTTTTATCAATTGAATATGGCTTTGTCTAATTGCTGTCTTTATTACAGATTGGTGCTGTTCCTTTAGCTGCTTTAGGAGCTCCTGCTCTTGATCCTGCCCTAGCTGCTCTTGGGCTTCCTGGAGCTAACTTAAACTCTCAGGTATGTCACACATTGTAAAATTTTCTTTATTGTCCCTAGCACATACGTAGTGTGACTAGCATACGTGATGCTCTTAGTGTTCACCAGTATATTAAACAACAACCTGAAGATCTGGAAATACTACACCTAGGTTTGAAGAAGTATTATGACATACTACTTTTAATTAAAGGCTTGGCTCAATGTAGTCTGCACAGGCTGCTGGTTCTTTAAACTTCTTAGGATGCCATCTTTGTTTCTTGGCATAGCAGGTTTATATATGAACACTTCTCTTTTGCTATCCTCTTTTCTGTTTTAACTGTAATTTTCATTTATATCAGTTTAACAGCCACTGTCTGAAAAATCCAGCGATTGATTTTTCTGAGCACCTGTTTGGAATAAATAGTATCTGTAGGAGTATCAAATTAAATGCTGAAAGGACCTAAAAAATAATTTGGGACTAGTAATGAAATATTTCAAATATGTGTCATTATCAAGCTATGAACCTGCCTTGTACTTACAGTAAAAAAAAAATTGTTTGACTTTTTAATTTTGTAGATGTAGAAAATACTGAGGAGACTTTGTTAGACTGTAGTCTCTTTAAAAGTATATAAAAAAGACATTAAGTACTAAGTAATAGTGAGTAGAGTATTGAGTTAATATTTAAGATACAAGAACCAAGTACTGTACAGAAAACATGTTTTACAGGTACAAGAAGTAGTAATAATTTAATGCATTGCTAAGAAATCTATCGTTGAGCATTCTCTTCGTGCATGCCGTGTGTAGTAACAAGCAAATAATGGTGATAATGAGATAACAAACAAAAAAAATAAGCTTTCTAAATGCATATTAGAAAAACATAGATTTGGTATGATCAAGGATTGTTTCCATTGTCCATTAAGGCAGCTGATTGTAACAAACTGTTTGGGTTCAGCACATGGCTGCCTCTGTATAAAGAAAATTAGTGGGGACCAAACATTTAGTTGTTAATACACCAGTGGTACAGGAAGTGACCAATTGTAGTAATATCTGGATTTTCCTAAGAGCTGCAAAATCCATATTTTTTTTGGAATTTTTAGAGTAAATAAGCTTTTGCTTCTTGTTCATAAATTGACATTGAGGACTTCCCATGGATAGGCAACTTAGTTGTCTAATGAGGTCTCTGTTCTCTTGAAGTAACAGAGAAATAACCTGTAAATACCAGAAGTGTATTTTTATTTTGAAGTTCTTTGATTCTGTCCGGGAAAGGGCCTATGTTTGGCTGCTGTGGAAAAAAAAGTACGTAAGTACCACTGAAAAGTGATGCTCACACCCTCACCACCATCCACAAGTTTTAAAACAGAACAATATGCCTTTTCGTCTGTAACTTGTTTGGGCTGTGTTTTCTTTTGCTTTTTTCATCTGTAGAGACTTTTTGCTTTAGCCACTGCTGAGTGTACGTTCGAGGAAGATAACCTTCTTAAGCATACACATCTTCCAACGTGGTTTTAATTTTTTTTTTTTCTCTCACAGTCTCTTGCAGCAGATCAACTACTAAAACTTATGAGCACAGTGGATCCAAAGTAAGTATCAGTGTTTACAAATATTTCTGTTGCAGTACACTTGATCTCTGGAATATCTGTTGTGATTCAGTAGTATCCAATCTTTGTCCTGCTGGGTGTAATTAAGGTTGGAGAAAACTAGTGTCTTGGGGATCTTGTGCAGACTCTCTTTGCTATGGGAGAGAGAAGAGGGGGAGGAAATGAAGATTATTCAGCCTTGCATCTATGGAATAACAACAATTAATCTCTGGGATTTCATTTTGCTAGAGACAGAAATTCAGTTTTTCTTGTGTCATTTTTGTTGCTTCTGTGTCTGTAAGGTAAAGGTGCAGCTAGCACCTTACATCCTGCAAGGTTGAAATGAAAGGGCTATGGTTGAGAAGGAGCTGAGACCAGCAACTGTTGCAACAGATGATAATAAAAGAGTCTACGTATGTTACAGCTGTCAGAAGACAACAAAAGACAGCATGTCTTATTACTTAGTAGAAAAAGGGAGCAAATAACAGTAAGCACAAGTGTGTGCTAGTTTTTATTTCAGTATTCAGAAAAAGGATAACTTTGTTCAAAATAGTGTGGCATGGAGACAGCAATTAGGGCACAACTGTAGCACTTAATGTTTTAGTGTGCCATTAAGCTATTGATAATGTTGCAACAGGATGAAGAAAGCTTATGCCATGGAAAAAAAGCTATTAGACTAATTAGTAGATGAAAAGCCTACTAAATGCAAAGAAACCACATCTGCCTCAGAAGGCCCTTGTACTGCAAATTGCAGGAAGCTTCAGAGAGCATTCTTTGAACTCTGAGCTTCGGGAAGGTATATCAGTGTGTGCTTGCCCTGCTACTGTATTAGCTAAATAGAGTTCTTCTAACCCTGTTTGGTTGTTCAGTGTTTTTAAATTGTTAGAGCCATCTCATCTATACTGGGGATAAAGCTATATATGTGATCTATCTTCATTTTTAATACTGTTCTGGCATATTACTCTCTATTTTAAATTGACATTGCTGTAAGCAGGGAGTGCATAACTGATTGAACAAAATAGTTACCCAAGATAATGGATTAGATAAACATCAGTCAGGTATATTGGTATATATATACACCTGGTTGGCTTCAAAGCCACCTTGTAGAACACATCTTCTGAACTTTAAATTTCATCACTGATTGTAGGCTTCTCAGTATGGCTTATAAAAGTAGAAACTGACCTTCTACTGTGTTTCCTGTGGAGTTGTTCTTTCAGGCAATGAGAATTGAATTTGTGTTGTACAAAAATGTTCTGAAAAGTGTCATTAGAAACATATCTGTGCAAGCCAATACAAACTTTCCTGCTATTTACAGTTTACTGGAATTCTAAGAGCCATATGAACTATTATCTTGTGCCACTGTTTTCAGGCACAGATATCACGTCTTAGACTTACTACTCTGTTATCTGAATGGTGACAAAACGCAGGCGGATTCCGATTCACTTAGATCAGTCACTTTGAATAGGCTGCAAACTGACAGTGGAGGCATGTATTTCTTGGATTCATCAATACTGAATTTCTAAAATTGTTTTGTATTTACCAGGTTGAACCATGTAGCTGCAGGTCTCGTTTCACCAAGTCTGAAATCAGATACCTCCAGTAAAGAAATAGAAGAAGCTATGAAAAGAGTACGAGAAGCACAGTCATTAATTTCTGCTGCTATAGAGCCAGGTAATTTTAAATCATAGAATACCTCATTCAATTCAAGATGGAGTTTTCACCTAGTATATGATAAAAGCTATTGGTCTGCAAAATATTGGCTTAATGCTTTCATGTTCTATAGTGACTTAATTTATAGTTGACAAGTTTTTAATTGTCCTACAGTGTGAATGCTGCATGTGTCCTGCAGAATGATTCAGGGAATTAATCATCTGTTTTTCCCAAAATTCACTTGATTTGAAAATTGAAGTTCGTACTGCCATCTCTGAGATTTCAGTGGAAACAGCAAGTGGTTTAACCACTTGACATCCTAGTGATGTTTGTTCTTGGGGATGATTTCCTTTCTTTCAATTCCTAATCTGTGGAAGTTTGCAGATTTTATTTTTTTTTTTTTTTTAGTTTATTTCAGTAGATTTTATGTTAGAACAAGATGCAACAGTTCATCCACAAATGTCAGATCCACCAAATCTGAGAAGCAGTAACTTGAATCACTGAAAACACAGTTTTGCAGCCTCCTGATCATTTTCAGGAAAGAATAGAGATCCTGTTCTTTCATTATACCAGAAAAATGTGCTGATTGTTTTGGTTGAGGCTTTTTGTGGGAAAGTCAAAACAATAATTTGAGAGATTCTTTAGCCCTTCACAAAATGGCAGAGATTCTGAAATGTTAACAAGACTTCCCATTGCCCTGCAGCTGTCATCTTTTAACTGACTTTAAACATTTTCTGAATGTTGACTTCTTCAATTTTGCATAAAACTTTATGTTGGTTTTATGTCACATACATGTCTTTGTCATGTGGTCATTCTTTGTGTCATCTTTTGAGGAAAAGGATAGATAAGCCTTAATTTCAAATGTCAAAATATTCCTTAGGGTTTCTTTATCTTATATCTATAGCGTGAAGCTCAACTTCTTTTCCTTTATAAAATCTTTTTGAATGCTAAAATAACAGTGGGTTTTTTACTCTGCTTTTCCTTTTTAACTCCAGACAAAAAAGATGAAAAACGAAGGCATTCAAGGTCAAGGTCACGCTCAAGGAGGAGAAGGACACCTTCTTCATCTAGACACAGGTAGTTAGCTTATTTGCCTTAAAAAAAAAAAAAAACAAAAAAAAAAAAAAAAAACACAACAACCACATAGCTGAAACAATTCCTTCAAAAATATTTCTTGGAAGTGACACTTCACTCATGGAGGCTGAGGAGAGGGAAGAATGCAAATGGTCTGAAGAAAGATGAGGCTGTGATTTGGCTAGACTGTAGTGTGAGATGGAGCCCTACCTCTGGTTTTGTAGAAAGGGTGGGAGAGAGATGATAGGAAAAAATACCTCAAAAATACTTTAAACTACTGCAGAAAGAAGTTCAGGACACCTAGTCCTAGCAGCGTTTGGACTGTGATTTTATTTAACAATAAATTGTTTCTTGTATCAGATAAGAAACACCTTAGCACAGAGCCTTGGTTTTTACACAACCCTCACTACTATGAAAACCTAAGCCATTGTAGGCTGTCCATTTTACAGTAGTTCCTTAAACCTCTGTTCTTTCTTCAGTCTCTTTCCAATGTGCTCATGTGGTAATTACAATTTGTCTTAAAACCAAGTACTAGGAGGCTTCCCTGAGCATCGTTATTTACGTACATAAATGCTTACCTGTTGGACTGTTTGTTTCTAGTATGTGCAGCAAATGCAGCTTAGTGGAAGTGTCTGGGACAAAAGTTTTTCCAGTGTTTTCTAGGTTATGATTTACTTGGAGATCAGGTCTGTTCAGGTATCCTGACTAGAGAACTTAATATTGTCCTACCCAGACAGAAGGACATATGGCTCATTTATGCTCTTGCCTTGTCAACTCAAAGTAGACAGTGCATGGCAGTGGTCTGTGCAAAGCCATTTTAACTGTGGCCTTCCCACTTGTACTTTGTTATTTGCATATTCAGTAATTGGCTTGTATTTGGTTTAGTGTTATAAAAATTTCTTCACATTTCAGCATGACTTACCAGTTTTCCTCTACAATAGGACTGATATTTTCTTACAAGGAGAGCAATAAGAGAGCTGATTGAAGCATCATTGCTCTTTGACATTTAGCATTTGTGCATTTCTTTTTTCCATTTCCTTGGCAGACTCCATGAGAGTACTCTGCTGTTTTCTATATCTCTGTTTTCTATATCATTGTGCATTACAATACCGTTAGCACTGATCAGATGGATTCTGAATAGTATATCAAAATTTCATACGTTTAACTCCCATGTACAATGTGTTACTGGTAGACGGTCAAGGAGCAGATCAAGGAGAAGGTCCCATTCAAAATCAAGAAGCAGGCGGCGATCTAAAAGTCCAAGGCGAAGAAGATCTCATTCCAGAGAGAGAAGCAGAAGGTCTAGGAGCACATCCAAAACCAGGTAATTGTTTCAGTAAATCTGTTCTGTTTGCCAGAAGTGAAATTATTAAACGTTGATGCTTGTCCTGGTTTAGGCTGGGATAGAGTTAATTGCCTTCCTGGTAGCTGGTATAGTGTTATGTTTTGCATTCAGTACAGAAGAATGATGATAACACACTGATGTTTTCAGTTGTTGCTAAGTAATGTTTAGACTAAGTCAAGGATTTTTTCAGCTTCTCCTGCCCAGCCAGCAAGAAGGCTGGAGGGGCACAAGAAGTTGGGAGGGGACACAGCCAGGACAGCTGACCCAAACTGGCCAAAGGAGTATTCCACACCATGGGACGTCATGCCCAGTATATAAACTGGGGGGAGTGGCGGGGTGTGTGGGGGGATCGCCACTCGGGGACTAACTGGGCATCAGTCAGCAAGTGGTGAGCAATTGCATTGTGCATCACTTGTATATTCCTTGTATATTCCAATCCTTTTATTATTATTATTCTCATTTTATTATTGTTATCATTATTAGTTTCTTCTTTTCTGTCCTATTAAACTGTTCTTATCTCAACCCACGAGTTTTGTTTTGTTTTGTTTTTTTTTAATTCCTTCCCCCCATCCCACTGGGTGGAGGGGAGTGAGCGAGCGGCTGCATGGTGCTTTGTTGCTGGCTGGTGTTAAGCCACAACAGTGCTTAATTTAAAAAAAAAAAAAAAAAAAAAAAAAAAAAAAAAACCCACAAAAAAACAAGGGCAAAATGAACTAGTGGCTCTTTTTAAAGTAGTCACAGTCTCTTGTAACATCTTGTAGAATTATATTCCACTTGCCCTATACATGTGCCCCATTAGTTACGTAAAAACATGTAACATGCTTTTCCTAAGAGTCCGCAGATGCAGCAGGCATTAGCTGCATTACTCAGTAGCTGTCTTTGGAAAGCAGGAAATGTGAGCATCTGGGCTTGCAGATTTTGTGCTGTTTGTACACAGAAGCTATAAAAGAGCTGTTCTTTTATTTTGCTGTAGATAATTGTAATCTTTGTTTCCATTAGTATAATGTGACTGGCCCCAGAAATACTAAACAGTATATGCTATCCAGTGTAGTTATCATGTCTTCATTCATTTTTCCTACATAGCAAAAGTAGTGAATGCTGCTTGAATAGTTTGAAAATGAGTTAAACTTAAAATCTGTATTTTACTAAAAGGGATAAAAAGAAGGAAGAGAAAGAAAAGAAACGTTCTAAAACTCCCCCCAAAAGCTACAGCACAACTAGACGATCAAGAAGCACAAGCAGGTACAGTAACATGAAAGTTTTCCTTGGTCTTTATTTCCGGCATGCTTTATCCAGTTTAATAGAAAGAACATTCTTGTATGTAATGGGATGATGATTCTGTTGTGGATATATTGGGTATATGCACAAACGCATGTGTATACTCTCTCTACCTATGTCTATAAGATGCATTATTTTTTTTCTCCTGATGCAGTAAGTTTCTGGAGGTATTGTTTGGGCTTAGAATAGTTTCTGCTTGCTCTGTATCAAAGAGAGTATGATGCTTTGGTCACTGTTAAACTCTGTCCTGATTTATGGAATAAATATATGCAAATGTGCACCATGCTTTTTTTAAAAACTTCCAAAATTAACTTGCAATATTAACAAGAACAAACTGTTTTGTTTCTCTTTGCAAAAAGAGTCAGTATCCCTGTTAGAGTCTAAGCTAGCAATTTGTTCATGAAGGTGGAGGTAGAACAGGAAACAACTTACTCTGTTGATCAGCAACTGCAGGGTCTTTGCAGTACTGCTAATAGTAAATAATCATTTTGAGTTATACATATTTACCACCTTTTGAACAGTGCTGGTTTTGGAGCCAGAGATGTATTTGTAGATTTGGGGGGGGGCCAAACCAAAAGAAACCCCAATAAACTTTGATCTGTCTTTCCTGCAGAGAAAGACGACGTAGAAGAAGCAGGAGTGGAACACGGTCACCTAAAAAACCCAGGTCTCCTAAAAGGAAAATGTCCCGGTCGCCATCTCCAAGAAGGTCAGTAAGCCTCTTGCCTGAAAAAAAAAAAAAAGGTGCCTGGGTGGAAAATTCCCAAGATGTGAACTACAGCAAAGATCACAGTGGGGTTGTTTTGAAGAAGGTGTGTGTTTGGCTTCTTCCTTATACCCAGCCCATAGGTTGACTTCTTGAGAGAGAGAGGATCTCTTCTGCCTGCTACCACTTTTATCATAATTTAATTGGCTTCAAGCATAGAGCTTCTCTGTTAGTGCACAAGAACTCCGAACATTGAGGTATTCCAGGGGTGAAGAGTAGGAGATACCCAGAGTTCCCAGCTCATTTGGCTCTGTACAATGGGAGTCAACTGACTTTTGGGTGGGCCTGGGCATTTTGTGATCCTGTCTCCCTAAATGGGGAACTTGAGGTGCTCCTTCGTAAAACACTATCACGTTGCTATTCTTAACACGGTGTTTCTTAGACTTCGCTTTGTGGTGTTTGTGTTTGATCCAGAGCTAAGAAATTGGGATGTTTGGTTATTTTCTGAAAGGGAATGGTGTATTGTAGTTGCACACCACTATTTCTGCCTTTAGATTTGTAATGAACTATGGGTAACAGTCTGGATATGGTCTGTCTTCTAGTTATGGAATGGTGTGTTGGGGGTTTTCATTCTTATACGTACTTTATCATTGTAGGCATAAAAAGGAAAAAAAGAAGGATAAAGACAAGGAGAGAAGTAGAGATGAGAGGGAGCGGTCAACAAGCAAGAAAAAAAAAAGCAAAGACAAAGAGAAGGATCGAGAACGAAAATCCGAGAGTGATAAAGATGTGAAAGTATGCTTAAAAACCTGTTTAACTTCACTGCCTGTACTGTAGTGTTAAACCAACAGGGGCTTTGAAAGCAAGTTTTACTTTTTTTTTTTTTTATCTCGGCAAAGCAGGTCACAAGGGATTATGACGAAGAAGAACAAGGATATGACAGCGAGAAGGAGAAAAAGGAAGAAAAGAAAATGGCAGATTCTTCCTCCCCTAAAGTAAAGGAGTCTGCTGCTGATAAAGGAAGTGGAGATTCAGCACGGGAATCCAAAGTAAATGGGGATGATCATCATGAAGAGGACATGGATATGAGTGACTGAATTTTGCCTTTGCAGTGAACACAGCTGCAGACGTGCATCAGTGTCATTCCTGTGTGATTCTTTTATGCTGTACTTGTTAATCCTAAATCTAGATGTATACAGCTCCAAGCTATACATGGTTTGTAAATCTCCTGATACTAACTCACATCAAAAGCTTTATAGAAAGGTAACCATTCTTGTTACGGCCGAAAGGGATTGCGTAGCCAAGCAATTTTTACTAACTTGGTGATGCTTCAAGCAAAAGTAAAAAGCTGCATGCATCTACAGCAGGCATGGACTGTTTGTTGTATGATCTCCTTTAGTAAATCAGCTCACTTATGATAGTGTTTCTAGAATTTGATTCATTGCAGTAATAGAGCAGTATAGGGAATGCACTGACTGCATGTTGATTGTGGCAGAAACATCCTAAATGTTCTAAAGTCCTACAACATATGGTGGATCTACTTAAGGGTCTTAAGTGTGACTACACAAAAAAAATTGACAGTACATCTGAAAAAAAGCATTCTGATATAGATAGTTTTCTGGTTTTGTTTTTTTAAGCCACATGGCTGGGGTTGGTTTGTTTTGTTTTGTTTTTCCCGGTGGATTTTGTTTGGCTTTGACAAAGTTAAAATGCACTAACCTTTTTGAGGGCTTTTTTAAATCTGTCAGTTCAAATCCATCTCAGGCAAGGTGCAATGGTTCTTAGCTTTTCTTTTTGAGCCTTGGGAAGTGAAAATCTCTGCTTGATCAGTGCCCAGTGATTAAAGGTTGATTTGTGCGGTTTTCATAATCCAGGTTGTTTTATTTGTTAGAGCTAAACACATTGCAAAAAGGTAGTGTATTTTAAAATTGACCTTCGTATGCTTTTAAAAGCAAGTCTACTTGATAATGTACTTTTTACTTGATCTCAAGTTGTATAAACTAATAAATTTGTGTTTACTGTCACTGCAGTAGTAATCTTATGCACACAGTGATTCCATGTTATATGCAAAGTAGTTAGGCAAGCTGTTTTCTTAGTTACCGAAGTTCAAGAGCTTTTACTTTTGTGCAGATAAAAAGACAAAAGTAGGCTACAGTCTGTGCCATGTTGATGTACAGTTTCTGAAATTGTTTTACAAAACTTTGATAATAAAACCCTTAAACTTATACTCACTTTCCTATAAAACTCTGCTGGTATTTATTTACACCACTGAATGTATGAAAATTGACCTCATTCATTTAGAGTATACATCTTTCTTCATCTATCTGTTTTAAAAAGACCATAACAACTCTTATCTCTTCAAAACCTGTAAGTGAAGTGAGAAAGCTGCTAAGCCTGCCATTTTAGCTCTAGTTAAGTATGTTACACTAAAGAAAGAATTATTTTACTTTTTTGGGGAATGAAGGGAATGGGCTTAAATGGGAATGTAGAGGTGTTATGGGACAAGTACTTTTAAAAAGAAATATGTATTTGTAAAAATTTTTTGTATTTTCATTGAAATATGAACATTCACCTCTTCAGGATGGTAATGGAAGACGAGCAGAAACCAGAAGCAGTGAGTGCTTTGTGCATATAAAGTAGGCTGTTAATGTCAACTGAAAACTTACTGGTTTAAATCAGTAAGTTTTGGAATGAAACTGTAAGTGATGCTTGAATTTCTTGAATCTGATGAGTCAAACCACCTTCTTTTTACACTGTCCTTTTGTCCCAGGCAAGGTGGAACTTGCCATTTAGATATGCAGTGTCATTTTTAGAATTTGTAGAAATGTAAATTTTTACCAACTGTTTTGAGTATTTTGTCAATACAGAGAGGTATATGTCATACAACCAGTTCTAGGCTTTTATTTCTAGTGGAGAGGGAGTGATTGTTCTTGTAATAAAATAAAAATAGACACAGACAAGGTGCATGATGTCTTCATAGATGTGCCTTTTTTGTTGTCATCAGGATATTTATGTGAAGCGCAAGAACATAAAGCGGTTTATAGTAATAAAGTAAACCTCCTTGATCCTTAGACCTTGTTGTTGTGAAAGTCATTCACATGCTCTAACGAAGGACCAAGTCAGGGTGTTGACCTCAAGATGGTAGATCAGGGGCTACGTGTAATTAAATGACTTGTTTCTGGTTTATTTTACTAACAAACCAAGTCTGTGCTGTGCATTAACCGTGTACCTCCGGCTGCCCAAGCCCAAATACAAACTGGAGAAACGGGAGTGGGTTTAGACTGCATTTGCTAATTATGCACAGAAGCTTAGGTGTCTCTGGTTTATTGCCTTTCAGGCTAAGAGTGCATGTTGGCTGAGCCTGCAGAGCTGTGCTGTGAGCTTGAGGGAAGAGCCCGTAACCCCTCGCAGTGTTCCCCTCCAGCAGTGTTAGACGAGGCACTGCCCTCCTCCTCCGCTGCCTGAACCTGCAGCAGAGCCGCCTCTCCCAGGTACACGTATGCCACATCACACAGAGCACTGAGCCAGAAGAACAACTGTTTTAGTAATTTGAAGTTGGTTTGTGAATTACGGTAGTGCAGAGGCTCACCTGCCTCCAGAGGTGAGGCTTTCCAAGTCATGTAACACCTCTCTGCATTACTGAAGGAGTTAAAGCCTGATGTAGTACCAGCTGCTCCTTGCCTCTGGCGTTCTTACAGGTGGATTTAACTGACAGTGGTACTTGCAGCAAGTTTTCCACTTGGAACTGTACGAGGCAGCACCCATTAGTGCTTGATGGCTGGGTCACAGACAAAAGACACACTGAAGCACAGTAACTGAGTAACTTGCTAATTGTCAGCAATTGTCAGGTGAGGGAAAGGGGTTCCTTGCTTTTCTCCCACTGTCTGTTGGCAGGCTGCAACCAAAGATGGGCCACTATTTTTAGACCAAACCTGAAGCTGTTGGAAAATGCCAGCTAGGAATCACGTATGAATACTACTCTTTGTGGGTTGCAGTTGTTAAAGCCCATGCTGTATTAAATGTTTCAGTAGCTCTTGCTTCTGCTACCAGAGTTCTTAAAACCCCAAGCGTTTTAGTATCAAATAGGATTCATTTTTGCTTATGCATCAGCCTTACATTTGCTATTGTCAGCTTTCACTCCCATCCCCAGTAGTCCAGCTGTTCCATTTGCACATCAGCATCAAGGTGGCCAAAAGCATCTTCCTTCCGATCTTGAGGAACGAGACATCTTGTCCTCTAAAATGAAACTAAAAATGTCAGCAGTGATTTTGTTGCAATTCTCAGATACCCTGTCAGCATGCAGCTCATTCTGCAATATTTCATTTGGAGTGAATGTGTATGACACATTAAATAAGAACAAAAAGTACCACAATCCAGGTGGAAAAAGTTATATCCTACTGTTGGGCACTGGGGAATTCTATCTCAATATTTGGGCCATCATACATGGATGACTGACTGACCGTACACAAAAGACAAATGTGTCGCTCAGTGGTACCTTCACAGTAATCAATCTGGAAAGGCCCTAGCATATGTTGTCATTCTCCTTTTAAAAGTACTTCATCATAGCAAAAGCCAGGCTTGTAGCTCCCCACAATATTTAACGGTGTGTTGTAGCAACGCAAAGGCTACAACCACAGTTTACTGAAATCCTTGGTTTTAATGAGTTCTCCCTACCCTTTATAAATACAAGATTTTAAAAGTTAGCAAATCCTTAACTATAGAGGGATGTCCTGATCTCTGCTCTGCAAGCTCAACTTTTGATGCTTGCAGGAAGGCAGAAGAGCAATCTAAGTCCAAAAAAAACCCCCAAACCAAACCCTAAAAACCCTTCTACAAGGCAAAATGAAACTTTGGAAGTTCCAGGTTTTGCTCATCCACAGTTCTTCCAAGAGACTACTGTTACAACCAATTGTCACATGTTATTTAAGTAAGTACATTTCTGGATTTGGAGATAAAACTTCTGTAATTACGGAACATGGTTCAGGAAAACTTAAAAGGTTTCCTTCCCTCCCTCCCTGGTAGCTATTTCTAGACTTCTGACTCCTTAGCTCTAGGTAGATCCCAGAAGCTACTGTCCATCTCCTTCCATCACTGCTATTCCACTGCATACTAGATAGTCCAATAAAATTTGGAGTTTTACAGAGGGTAAAGAACAGTCTATAATGAAAATGCAGGATTTTATTTTTAAAATGACCAATAAAATGCCCTTGCAGAATGTAGCAGTGTGAGCTTGTCCCCTCAGATCGAATCCCTGCTCAGAGAAGCACGTCTACAGTGTATACGTACCCCAAAAAGTACTGTGACAAGAGAGTTAAAACTTCAATTTTCACATATTGAACAGTTTAACAGAATCAAACAGCATATTTTGGTCTTTATTCTAACAAATGATACAACCAAAAATTACTATTAGTGAAGGCAAGTTAAAAACATGGACCAGACAACTAGTAAAATGCAAAAAAGTGACATTGTTTCCATGATAATTACAAATTGTAAGGAAAATAAATGTGAAACTGCAGCATTACAGGAAATTTGTTAATACAGATTAAATAATGCAGTTATCCTTGCAAGAATTACAAATCAAGAACAAATATATTTTAAAAAAAACAGACAGTTGCTTTGAATATCAAATTAACAAGGTGGGTTTCCAGCACAAATATATCCAGAGTTTTTTGTAACAAATCATTTTGATACATAAATCAAGAATTGCAGTAAAGTGAGTACAGTGACTGGAACAGCAGCTTCTTGAAACGAAAAAGAAAACGCATTCCCTTTGCCACAAATTAAAGCAATATTTTGGAAGACCAGTAAAACAGTTTGGTTAAGAAACAACCCTAGGAAGTCTTTTGCAACAATTTCTTATTTCAGTTTACCAAAATGAATGGCTGTCTTTTAATACTTATTCATAAAAAAACCTCACAGCCATCAGAAAAAAAAAAAAAGTGGCAAGATCAGAAAGAAACAATGCCCCAAACTCTGAACTGAGGTGCTCTCTCCCACAGCCCTGGTACAGAGGTTTCCTCCTCCACACACAGCACTTGCGCACTGTTGTCAGCTTCACTTCCAAGAACACCACGGAGTCAATGTGCATCTTAATATGGTGATTCTTACCCAGCCTGTGCAAGCTCCCTTTTTCATCCCACTTGTGCTAACCACAAATGATACTGTACACCTCGGCTGGCGTGCCCAGAAAGGCAGTTGTAGTTACCCAGGCGTTCTTACGTTCCAGGGTACCTTGTTGCAATGAAGTCCCTACACAAGCACAAGTCAAATTAACAAGTTAAAGCTGACACACTCCTTGTTGCACAGCAGGGATGAGACAACCTCTGTAAAACCGCTGTGGATATGTCATCACCCTACAGGGGACCAAACCTTCCCTTAACACCCAACGTGGTCTTAAGGAAAAGGGGAAAAACAAAAATTAAGTCCTGCTAGATCAATCCTGCTAGAAAAAAAAATAAATTTCCAAAAGATATCTGACCAGGAGATCACAAGTGGTAAAGGACACTGGTGCCCACAGCACAGCTGCGGACCAAGGCTCCTTCTATACTAGAAACGCTTCACCCATCCACGGGCGCTAGCAACGCTTCCGTGCGGACGCATCCATACCGACACATACGCACTTCGTGTTAGTTGAACACAAAAACCCTTGCAAGCAAAACAAATTAGAGTGGATAAAACATTTATATCAGTGTGGACAGAGTTACCACTAAAGAACCACACCAGCACAGCTACGCTGCCAGGATTGCATCTTCACGCCTGTGCCAAGACGCAAATCCCTAAGGTAGGCTCAGCCTAACGTCCCTCTCGCTAACGAGGATTCCTGCACCTTGCAGCGTATCCATCAGGAAACCGTGCCCCAAGTGTCCCTGGTTTAAGTTTCAGAACTCATCACTAGGAATGTTTCAGACAAAAAACACATCACCAAAAGTTGGAAAGAAATGTACCGAGAAACAGTTCACCGAGTGAGTCTTACTTCATGAGGCTGTCACAGGAATCTGACAACTCAAGGAAAGGACAATCTGGTTGGAGTCAGATCATTCAGCCCCGTAGTAAGAAGAAAAGAAGCAGCAGGCGACGTTCACCATAATAATGTAAAAAGACTACAGTCAACCAAATCTGCGTCCACTCTTCTCTGCTGACACTCCAAATTAGAGCAAGCCTTAATATAGCAACCCGCTATAAAAAGTTTCTGCAAATCTTAAAATGTATCAAAGTTAGTAGTTGT